CAGAAATGCGAAGAATGTACAAGGTTTCGCGTATGCGGAATACATTCCCGGTCAGGCCGGCCAACAAGTGCTTGACTGGCTGCTGTGCAATCATATATTGTGGACCGTTCTGTTTTTGACTGACAAAATGATGCAGAGGACTTGATTTCCCTGAATCATGAGTTGTTCATGTCGATGAGTACTTAGTCTCCGGGTATCAGCTAGGCATGCTGAAAGTGCAAAGTGAGACATGTTGGTGGACCATGATACGCGAATAACACCCTAGACTCACGTGCTTTCAAGGTACAGACATGTGCTTTTCTGGAGCAAATATGCTTGTGGACCCCTATTTTCATCCTCGGGAGTGTCAACTACGGGTCCCGCTCTCACACAACGACCGGTGAAACCTTAATTTCTCCGATATACAACCGCCTCAGTTATTCAGCCGGACTTGTACAATTGTCTGATCATGGCCGTGCCGCTTACCCGGGCCAGACGCATAGACTAACTTACTGACAAGAACAACAGTGCGTCGTTTGGTGCGATGAATACGGCGTTGCACGTTTCTTGCTCCAGAGAGTTATGCCTTATCAGATTCGTCCATGATTACGAATGAGTCTCGATGGTCTCATTGCTGTCTTTTTGCATCATAAGCATATCTTAATATTATCAACTAGGCCAGCGTTGCTTGTCTTCTCTCCAGCCATCTTTTCATTTCGTGACCGTAAGCTGCTGGCGTCTTGGCTGTGGGGTTTTTGTCAACCTTGCTGGCTATTATCAACCCTTTGCTCTGAGGGAGATCGACTGGGTGAACATATTTGGGATATTTAATTAGCTTCCTGAAACATACTTCTCCCTAAGATCTCATGACATCCATGTTCACGCCCAAGTGACGTTTGCAACAATTACCATTCGCCTAGTGTCTTTGTTTACAGTCTAGATTGGACGGTCTGAGATCAATGCTCTTGATCTAGCACTGGAGGAGACAACTGAAGCGACGCTACTGTAAGAATGCGACCAAAGCACGTTAGATCCAAATGTAGGAGAACTTTGAAGGTCGTAAAGATTGTGATGTATTCGATATCACCTCCTAGCAGTCTAGGGATGGATATTTAGAGTTTTGAGAAGACATACGATATGAGGCGCCGAGAACATTCGATGATGATATTGGCACCGTAGTGCGATAGTTAGGAAAAGGTCACTACTGATGACACTCAGCTGGAAATGGATTTACGTTATTTGATCATGGTTCAGTGCGGTTTATCTAGAACATCTTGTACGTTCGGCTTCCCTAAATTCCCATCGAATCCCAGAATTGCTCATAGTCCCTTCCAATTCTATTTTGACATCGGATAGCAAAATGAGACTCGCATATGCTTTCCTCATACGGTCTGTCCTTGAAGGGCTTGGTTCACTCTACTTGTATGCTGATGCAGATTCGACGACCTCCCAGGAACCATGGCCTACGACAACTATCTATGGCACCACATACTCAGTAGTAGTTCCGGCAGATACTGCGAGCTACTGGGGTGCACAACCGACAACCGTAAACGGGGAGCCTGCGATGTATGTTAAAGCAATTGTTGCGTTTTAGCACCGAAATACTAATGCGGGTCTGCATTTAGTGGTCTACTTTCCCAATACCAAAGCTCATACATGATGGAAACATCTGGTGGTACAACTGAGAGTATCCCTGGACTGGCAGTAGTTTTGTCGATGAGCATTTCAATCCCGAGCGGCCAAACTGCGAGTGGATGTAAGCTTACCATCCAAGTTGCCGGCAAAACTGTACTTTCTCCTAGCATCAGCTCGAGCGACGGGGACTTTTCTCTTTTGTCGGCTGCTATGACCATATCAGGAATTCCTGGTTTCACATTTATGGAGGTCTGTTCCACCAAAGTCTTGAGTCTGGTAGCTTACGATATTGTCCTTTTGGCCGACCCTCAAGTCGTCACTATAACTCCCACGCCATCTCCAACCACTAGCTCATCGTCAAGCTCAACGTCAAGCTCCATGTTGACAACCTCGAGTAGTGTAATCGATACATCTAGCACACAGACGGAGACAAGCGTCAGTAGCACATCATCACCGGAAGTCGACTCGACCACTTCTAGTATCAGACCATCTTCCAGCCAAAATACAATTATAACAAGTACTCCGGTGCAAACCACCACGAGTGTCTCATCAAGTACGTCTTATCACACCACAGTATCAGTTGATGTTGCATCGGCAACCCTTCAAGGCGCAACAACAACCACTGTTAATGGAGCTGCTGCCGTGTGCGTATGATCGAGCCATCTGAAATATTTCCTGCTAATACCAATCAAATAGTCTTATGACTCCCAGTCCCACCAGCACGGCGGAAATGTCTGTCATAGTCTCGATAGAAAATGACTCTGTGGGAAAGAGGGGTGCACTATCTCTCGACATTACAACTATGAATACTTCTCCACCACGATTGAAGCGGGCGGATGAAACCTGTCAGCTCATCATCAGTTTGGATGGGACGACGGTTTACGAAAGTTCGGTAGAGTACAACACTGGAACAACCACAATTGTGACGGACAGCATTATTTTGGACGAATATCCTGCCATGAATATTCGCGAGATATGTGCAGATGTTGGCATTCCTCTCGTGATCTCAAACCTTGCTCTATTAGTTGCAGATCCGAGCAGCAACACAACCAGTATCTCCAGCACTCAGTCCGGTATTGTTTCAGTGTCATTTACATCACCTACGATTTCTTCATTCTCTACAACTGTTTCCTCAAACTTCGACAGTATCTCTTTACCGACAACCTCATCTGATGTTCAGACTATGACAGCTTCAACCGCCGCCACTCTAACTAGTTGGACTATCACCTCATCACCTAGTGAGACGGATTCATCCACCATAGCCTCTTCTGGAAATGAGGGGACTTCCCTGTCATCCGCCACATCTAGCCTTCACCAGACATCCTCACCGATTCAGACTGTCGTTAGTAGCCTACTATTATCATCTACTAAGCCGAGTCACCCTCTATCGTCGCTGGAGACGCCGTCTATTATTAGCAGCACTCTCATCATATCCAGCATCCCATATGTTGAGTCGCTGACCAACACCAACACCGAGTCGATATCTCGTACGATCGGAAGCCTAAGCTCTACGAGTTCTTCACCCTTGACAACGGCGACTACGCCTGTAGAGGGTTTCCCATCCTCTATAGGCTCGTTTGATTTCTTTGGATGTGTTGGCTCTTCTGCAAATTATCCCACGTTCGATCTGGCTCTATCTAGCGGAGATATGAGTATTGATGCTTGCACTTCTTTGTGTGGTGGCAAGCTGTACAGCGGCGTCTATAACACGTATGTATTATTCTTGAAGTCGGGCATGGTATTCTGCGGAACGACTAACTGTTTTCTAGGAACTGTTATTGCGGAGACGCAGTTAATAGTAACGAAACCTCCATTGTACCAGTGAACCAATGCGATACTCCCTGTCCCGGAAACTCAGGACAATTCTGTGGCGGTCTACGCGACATGACTCGCCTGCGTCGCCAGTCCGCCATCCCTAACAACATTTTATTAACCGTTTACACCAACAGGGACATACTCGGTGGCGGATCCGGCCCTGGAACCACTACAACAGGACCTCTTGGATTGCCTACCACTAATATCACTGAAACTTTCCTGATCACAACCACTCAAACTGTCAGCGGCTCTGTTACTGTTGATGTGTTTACCTCGACAACAGTATACTGCCCGCTCTGTCCACAATCCGCCAACCCGGAATGCGTTAGCAATTACTGCTCTATCAATTACATTTTTGAAGTCTGTAATGGGAGCTCAATTCTAGAAGGAGATGTCTTCATCCGTGAGCCGTGCAGCTGCCCCGGCGGATGGGCTTATCAGCCCGTCACCTGTCACGACACGTCATGTAGCGGGCAAACCGTATATAAGCCGGCGCCGTGGACACCCCCTGAAGGAATAGATCAGCCTGTCTATCGCCCGCAAATATGTAGTCAATGTCCTGGTGGCTTTATTTTCATCCAGGCTGTGACTCCTTCAGCAATCAGTACAACCGCTACGGCACCTCCTAGCCCCGAGATCACAAGCAGCGGTTTTATTTCCACACATATTAACAGTCCTGGAAGTTCACCTTCATCTGGATCAGAACCATCAGGTGTCTCACCGCTGCCTACCTCGTCATCTCAGGGGACTGTACCTTCTGATGTTGTCGAAGCTGGTAGCAACAGCGCAAGTCCGACAATGATTGTCGTCGTGGCTCTCATTTGTATTGCAATACTTGAGCAAGTTGTATAAACTGGGATTGTTGATGATAGTCTCTGTTTACATGAGGTCTGAGTAGCCTTTTGATGGGCCGACGGGCCAGTGTATAGACAACAAGGACACATCAGAAAGTTAGAACGCTTGAAATAAAGTGGATGGGTGTCCTAGTAAGTGTATGATAACAGAAGTCTTTGTTAGGAATAAGGTATTCTGCGATGGAATGGATATTCAGGTGGAATGGAGTCTGTCCTTCATCATTGTTGTTCAAGAGATTGAAGCCTGGCTTCTGCTCATCTGTCGACTTCATATATACTAGAGAGAAGACCAAATAACACTCTTCTAATTGCGATTTTCAACACAAAAGTATTGCGCTCTCTCAGTATGTCAATACCGCATTTGAGTTAATATATTTGAGAACGACGCGGCGTTCTAAAATTTGGCTGTGGATGCACACCTGAGATTTAAGGAGGCGTCTACGGGACGGTAATTGCGGAGTTATGTAAGCTGACCCCACCTCAGACCAAACGGTGCGCTAACGTACCTATGCAGCAGCTATGACCTCACGGTTATGAAGCTCCCACAGCTCCCGTCACATTCCTGCGCCAAACACCTCCCCTCTCTTGTCCTAAGCCAGACGGCAACAAGACACAACACGACACGAGCTTGCCTGCAACAAAGGGTTAATATTAAACTTCAAGGGCTGCAATCATCAGATACTACAAGGTCCTTTCTTTGGGTTCCGCCATTTCAACATGGCAGCCGCCGGATATGTTCAGACCAGTCTGATCTGGGTTGCCTACGCGGTTGCAGTGGCTCTCGCTCTGATAGCCGCCATTCTCACCACCTTCACTTGGCAAACTGCCCGCGAGCGATCCGCCATCGTCAGTACTGTCGCAATCGTCAGTCTGACTGCGCTTTTGGCAACTGTCTTCCTGCTGCCTGTTGACATTGCTCTGGTCTCATCGACGACCTCGACGACCTACGGTGCGAAGAAGGATTGGGCGACACCCGAACGTGTCAGCAATATTCTCTTGACCCTCAAGATCGTCTACTACTCGCTATACAGCTTCGATGCGCTGCTTTGCCTTCTCATTATTCCATTCGCTTACTTCTGGTACGAGGAATATGATGAGGTTGAGGAGGAGGAAGGTACCAGGAGCTTTGGAAGCAGACTTTGGGGCGCTTTCAAATACACCATCGTCTTCATCGTCCTAGTTCTGATTCTGTTCTTGGTGGGTTTCTTCGTACCCGCCGCAGGCGACAGCAAGGGAAAGCACCTTGACCTTGACTACTTCAAGAAGCTTCTTGCCGAGAATAAGGGCGAAAAGGCTCTGACATTCGGGCTGGGACTGCTGGTTACTCTCGGCACCCTTCTCTACATTCTCTACACCGGTGCTGGACTAGCCCTCCTACCAGTCTCCTTCATCAAGTCAGCCCCCTCTATTTCGGCACCGCAGCTCGGCGAGACCACTGCCACGGCACTCGAGAGCAACCGAGAACGCCAGCGACAGCTTGAGATGCGCAATGCCGGTCGTCCGGAAGGCATGCCCCAGAAGGACCGTCGCGAGTTGGAGGCCCTCATGCGCGAGGAGCGAACTCTGGTCCGCCGCGAACGTCTGGCCGCCGAAGCTCGTGGAGAGGGTCACAGTGCCATTTTCCGAGCATGGCTAAAGGTTCAAGCTGTGTTCCGCCCTCTAAAGCTGATTGGGGGAATCTTGCTACTACTGATCGCTATCCTTGTCTGGGTATCGATGCTCATTACCGGTATTGATAAAGCGGCCAACTCTATTTGCAAACAGCATTGTGGTTACATCTTGGGACATATCAACGTCTTCCAACCAATCAACTGGATCTTTGTGAAGTCAGCGAAGGCATTCCCTGTGGATTACGTCCTCATGGCGCTTCTGATCCTGTTCTTCTTCAGCAGCTCCATCTCTGGCCTGGCCACCATTGGCATCCGATTCCTATGGGTCCGGATCTTCCAGATCAAAAAGGGCCGGACTGCACCACAGGCGCTGCTCATCGCTACTGTTATGCTGGCATTGATCATTCTTGGCATCAACTATGCGATCGCAGCTATCGTTGCGCCGCAGTACTCTATCTACGGCACTCAGACATTCTGCGATAACCCACCTCGCCACCCTGGCGATCAGCCAGACTGCAGCAAGCACTCGGACTTGATTAAGCCATGCTCAGAGGTAGAGGACAAGGCTGCAGCTAACACTGTCTGCACCCCGTCGGTCATGTCGACATTCCTGAACAGAATGACATTCAACTGGCCGGTCTTTGGGGCCATCATATTCTGGGCACAGTTCGCATTCCTCGCCGTGTTTCTAATCGTCTTCTTGACTGCTCTGTTCAGAACTCCAAGACTAAACCTGAGTGAGTTTGACGAGGAAGCCGAGGCCGATGAGGAGGAGGGCTTGCTGGCCAGCACCGGCAGACGATTTGGTGCTACATGGCAGGACATCACCGGGCGCGCGAAGCAAGCCACGAACACTAGCACAAATGGAGGTGAACATTCGTAGATATGGTGGGTGTAGGTGGGCTGGTAATGATAGGGCAGATTGCAGTGCAAGGGTATAGGAATGCCCCATTGGGCGGGCAGACTGAGGATATGCAACAATGACGAATGAGGAACGAAACGTGGTACACAGGGCTCCGGTTTCACTTCAGGTAGTGGCACTTGTGCTGCTTCATAGGCATTTCTTTAATCTTGCTCGGCATTCATGTCTCGTTGGTCTGGTGCGGCCGTTGCAAAAGGTACACAGTTTGATATCCCCATCAATGGAGTTCCAGGATTCTTTTCACCTTAGCCGAATATGATGCATCGTGGACAAGCTATTGCAACTGTGGTGCTCTGGCAGTGACTTATACAATTGTAGAAAATTCCGGTGTTAATGACTTGGGTATCGAATAAATCTGGTAACTACTCTGGAAAGATTTATGCGTCAAGGAACACCTTTCCCGGGCTTGTCTTCTGGTTTGAAGGTTGGAGCGGAAGGCATCTCTAGCGTTCCGTCCAGGCGGCCTTCCAGCCGCTTGAGGAACGCCATCCGTCTCGCTATGTCAGTGTCAAAATTCTTCTCTGCGGAGGCCGCAGGGTCCCATATTCTTGTCGGCGCATCTGGGAGCTTGAGTTTGGCCCTCTTCTTCTTCTTGCCCTTTTGCTTCCGTTTCGCCGCCCTCTCACCACCATCATCGGAACTGTCATCACTTGAGCTGTCCTCGTCCGTGCTGGTCTCCTCTTCTGATGAGATGTCTTCTTCGCTCTCGTCTCGTAGTTTCGTAGGGGCCGAGGGCAACGCGATATCAACGTCACGCTTAAGTTGCTTATCTGCCCCGGGATCTGACTGCTCATCAGACTTCTCCTCGGGAGGCATAGTCTCATCCAAATACACCTCGTCCAGGGCTTTGGCAATGACGTCGTCAATCTCCCGCTTCATAGCCTCGCCCTCGGAGTCATCAGCCGCGCCCTCGTCCGCATCGCCCTTCTGCCACTCCCGGCTCTCGGCCTTGATGATCTGGAAAGGGGGGTCGTCCTGCAGCTTCGCAAGGAGCTCTTCCACCCTCGCCGACTCGTCGCCGGGGTCGCCATCGTCGCTATGACTCGGCAGCCATTGGTCGTCGTCGTCGACGTCCAAGCCTTCGAGGAGGTCGTCCAGTGACTGCGGACCGCCGGCCCCCAGCAGCTCGTCGAGCTCGTCCCCGCCTCCTGCCTGCGGGCTAGGTGGCACCGAAGCAGCCGCTTTTGCGAGGGTGGACTGTCCTCGGGGAGGCAGTGCGGCAGCATCTCCTTCCGCATAGGGAGGAGGCGGGTCCGCGCTGCGCTCCCGGCCCAGGGACGGCGGACTCGGCGTGGCGGCAGGGCTCCCACCCCGGGGCTGCCGGTTCCGGAGGTCTTTGAGCCGGGCCGAGAGGGCGTCCTCCCGCGACGGCGGGGCGGGCGGCTCTGCTATGCACGTAGTCGAGACATCGAGCGCACTTTTGCGGTTGAGAAGTAAGCAACCTGTCGCCAAAGGAGATTCTGCCTATCTCAGATGCACAGCTTCGCTTCGCACCTGCCAGACTGAGAAAAGGGGGGGAAGCAGTATTTACTTTGAAGACCTGTCTAGCGTTACACTGGTGGCTTTGAGGGCGTTCAGGCGCTGGAGCAGACTGTGGTCGTCGGCGCCTGGGTCTGCCATTGGTGGGGAGGGAACGGTTCACAATAAGCCCATCTGCGACCACGGCCGATGGTAGGTTAGGTGGTGCGTGTGATAGTGAAATTTGAATACCTATCCTGGGTCTTTGCTGGGCTGGGCTGACTGGCTGAGTAACCAACAAGCGAGTACGTCCGTCGGCGTCCGTCCTGACGGTCTGTCTCGTTTGAGATGGCGGTTCGACCGGCGGTTAATTTCCCGTGGTAGGCCTCTGAGATGCAGCTTACCTGCTGAATGCGATACGCCTGATACGATGTGATATGCGGACAGACCCCGCCGAGGCAGGCAGCAAATGAGGAGATGCGGTATGGCGCAATGTGTAATCGGGTGGTGATGTTCCTGGCGGTGGACTCCAGCTATGTAGGCTGATTGTCAGGCTCACAGGCCCGATGAACCAAGAGCCAGAGGCCCGGGGCGATTAGTCCGTTTTACGGAGTACTGAGGTGTTAGGGGCTGCACCGCCCATGAACAGTGACCTCACAATCCGGGGTAGAGGGGGACGATCCAGCCTGGAGAGGCGACTTTCTTCTGTCATGTCATGTCATGTCATGATAATTCCAGTTATTGTCGTACCTTAGAGCTTAGGTACAGTATTACCCCGGTCCTGACACCCTTACTCTCTCTGAACCACTGAAATGTGCCGTACAATACAACATGTAAGTATGCTCTATCCTATCAGACATTGGGCCATCCGGATGACGGAGGGCCTCTGCAGGTTCGCATGCCCTCTTTTTCCAGTGATTTACCCAAGATGGGCTAGCTCGGTCGATAGGCCGGCGGGCTGTGCATAGCATGTGGCTAGACGTCACTAACAGCGAAATAGAGTAATTAGAGTAATAGAGTTAAGGCAGCCCGAGGGTCCCCTGTGGAGTCGCCCGCCCGATAACTGCGACAGTTAGAGCTTCCAGGAAACTCGGATATCGGACATCGGATCCCCTCACCATGATTCAGCAGCAGTCTTCTTTGTCCTTCAAGTAGGCAAAGGCAATTGCAATTGCAAACGGAAACTGGTCTCTTTGTCTTCAATGAGTAATATGTAATATGAAACCATCATACTTGTCACGTTCATTCCGGTTTGCGGGAGCCAAGCACCATTGACGTAGTGTTGATGACTGGCGTCTGTTGGTTGAAAGAAAGGGCCCAATCGGCCGAAGCTGGAACCAGAAAAGCGTTGGCACACAGCGCATCCGTGGGCATGTCATAGATGGTCTTGGCGCACCACACCTTTGTCTTCCTTTGTTTCTGCTCTCCTACCTATTATACCTAGGTACAGTGCTAATCGAACTGCGCCATGCTACGCCGCTCCTCAGATCCCGCCACCTCAAACACGCTCCCTCCTATAAGAAATCTCCTCGTCATTCACCCTACCCAGCGCAACACCCAAGTCGAGCCCAAAAGTTGCTAAGCTACTTGGCCCTGCACCCCAAGACATCTCGCTTGTTCCTTTTTTTCAAACATCCAAACGACCGTCATTGACAGCAAAGCATAGCGGCGCATTGTTCCTTCCAGAATCGACAGCACAGTAGCAGCATGAAGCCCATATCGATACTCGCGCTGTTCATCGCGGCCGCCCAGGGCGTTGCCGTCCCCGACAAAGCAGACGTCGCGCTCTACCAGCCGCGATCGCAACACCGCGAGCGCGACACAGACTTTGGAGACCTGTGGAAGCGCAGAGGCGGCGGCGGAGGTGGTGGTAGAGGCGGTGGCAGCTCTGGAGGCTCGTCCGGCGGCTCGTCTGGTGGCAGCAGTGGTGGCTCCTCTGGCTCGGGCTCTTCAGGTTCTTCTGGTGGATCGTCCGGATCCAGTGGCTCGTAAGTCCATGTCCTGTTTTTGTTTTCTTTCCCCATTTCCGAGTTCGTCATGCAGGTTGCGAGGGGCACTGCGCATGTACACGGCAAGGATGGAGGGTTGTGTGTATGATGGAATACTGAGACGCTTGGGACAGAGGTCGTGGCGGGTCAAGTGGGAGCAGTGGAAGCAGTGGAAGTGGCAGCAGCTCGTATGGGTCTCCTTTGTGAATTGTGCATAATCACTTGGTATCAGATAGACTAACATCTCGCACAGAGGACGTGGATCGTCAGGCTCTAACTCGGGTGGCTCAACAACCACAGGCAGCGGAGCAAGACCTGCATACGGCGGCGGCTCATACTACGGCGGAGGAGCAGCGTCCCCATACCGGTCCGGCAGGGCGACGCCGGGCGGCCTGTCTCCGCTCCCCTTCGTCTTCGCGGGCGCCGCTATCGCCTTCTGGCCCGGCCTGTGGCTGCACGGCGCCTACCTCTACCCCTACGCGCACCCGTGGGGCTACCACAACAGGAGCTCGAACAGGAACGAGTCCAAGCCCGTCATCTGCGGCTGCGACCAGTACGAGGAGTGCGGCTGTGAGGACAACAACAACCAGACGTACGTGGACAGCGTCATTGGCAACGGCAGCTACGACTCGCTCAACAGGTCGCTCGTCACCGTCGCCAAGGTCAACGGCACTGACACGATCCTCATCAACGGCACCCTGGCCAACGGCACGACCTCGTCAGGCGGCACAGAGAGCCCCGACAGCGGAGCGTCTGGCGTCCTCCAGCACGCTGGCTGGTGGCCAGTTGTTGCAGCGGCTGCTGCTATGGTGCTTATTTGCTAAGCGTCTTCCGATCGACGTAGTGACTGTAATGTTCTGATGATGAGTTTTTATTGACGCCGTGGGCTGTATCATACCTTGGGAAAGAAGTTCCTACCACTTCGTTCAGGCGTTTAGGGAGTTATACCATTCAGGTCCTGTCGGAACAAAAGCAGACAGGGGACCTTTTTACGAGTTCTAGATAGTAGATAGTGTATGTCGTCAGAGACACATATTGAGTTGCACAGGATCATATCGTGAGCCTTGTAATGTGTCTTAAAGCAATTCGCTATGCTCTGCCTAAAAGATGCTGTTGATGTCGTTCCTCGTAGCCATGAAGTGATATGAATGTGAAGCACACGGTTTAATCTCGATGTTGTTCTCTCAAACGGGTTCGAGCTCAAGACCGTCCGTCCCCTATGCATCAGCTGAGCTGGTCTTCTGCAACTCCGCTCTCCTCTCCTCAACCCAAGAGCCCAACTCCCTCCATATCTTCTCCTTCTCAGCGGGCGACAGCGTCGCCGCCAGCCCGCTCGTGCTAGACGCCACAAACACCCTCGCGCCCTTCCAATCCGGCGCATACTCGACACCATCTTCCTTCTCCTCCTCGCTCACGCCCGCCGCGCCGAGGCGGCCCATGTTCTCCCCCGCGTCCTGCCAGCCATACCGGAACTCATGCTTGCCGACCGCCCTCCCATGGCGGACGCGCCACACGCTCTCCCAGATGCTCTTGCCCACAATGCACACGGCCTCGGGCCGCCAGCGGCGCGCCTTCGCCTCGAGCACGGCGACGCCCTCGTCCATCTCGGCCTTGCTCAGCTCGGCGCCGTTGCGGCTCGGCCGCGCCACGATGTTAGTGAGGCCGAGGCGGAAGCGCGCGGGCAGCGTGCGGTCCTCCGAGTAGTGCACGGGCTCGGGCAGCACGCCGGACGAGAACATGAGCTTCCAGAACAGGTTCGAGGGGTGCGCGTACGCGTGGCCCTGCACCGCCGTCTGGATGCCCGGGTTGAGCCCCACGAAGAGCACCAGCAGGTTCGGCGCGATGGCGTCGGGGAGCAGCGGCAGGTGCGCGTATGTCGAGGGCGGGGCGTACCCCGAGGCCTTGGGCCGTTTGCGCTTCTTGCTCGGCGAGGGGGAGGAGAGCTTGTTGAGCGAGGACGGCGAGCTGGGTGTTGCCGAGACTGATGGAGGTGCTGTGGCAGCTTTGCGCTTCCGCGCAGAACCTGTGATGCTAGCGGTGCGTTGGGGTGTGGGCGACGGCGTTGGCGAGCCTAGAATTGTAGACTTCGGCGTGGAGATCCGGGGACTTCGCCGAAGCATGGCGGCACCTGAGCTAGCCTCTGTCGAGGCACCTTTGAAGATGAAGTCTTGCAGCTTGAGGCGGCCTTCGAAGGTGGCCTTGGGCGATGGTGGCGACTCATTTGCTGCCGCAGCGGGTGCCATTGGAGGTTGGACTTATGTCAGGAATCTGTAAGGCTCATGAAGAATTGTCACTTGTCAATTGCTGTAGTTGTAAGTCACGGCGTCGAAACGCCGATAGCAAGCTTGTGTAGAATTTTTGAAAATGGCTGATGGATGCTCGAGATTGATGGGAGGCGAAGTACAGCCTCATGTCGCAGCTGAAGAGACGTCCAGTGGGCAATAACGCCACCAACCTTCAAACCTGGAGAACTACCGTCAATCCTCGCTTCAGCTAAGTGCTCAAGCACTCAAATTGACCCACGTGAAATAGGTTATGCAAACCTGGCAATTTCGAGGCGGAAGCTGGAATGTTCTTTCTTTTTTTCTTCTCTTTCGTTCTAGCATTCGTGATCAATCCGGCACTCGAAGGTTTTCAATCTCGTATTGCCCCGTCCTACAGTAGAAAGATGCTTGCTCACACGAATTGCCGCCCGAGAGCTCCATTTGTTGGTAGTTGCTGGGGTGAGACAGCCTCAGGCCCGAGCTGCAAGCTGCCGGGAGAGTCGCCAATGGGGCCGCTAATGTGCGCCCTAAAACGCTAGCGAGCAAATAGGAGGTGGCTTTGCAGGGCTGTCCAGGACCCCGTTGACGTCGTTTCCTGCGTGGTTGCTGCTGGCCTCCCAGGTACTTGCTGGTGCTGCGCTCAACGTGGCGGGGCTGCGTATTCCCAGTAGTCAAGTCAGTCGAGTTGGCGGGGCAGCTAACGTGAAGTGCCTTGAAAAGCAAGCTGCCTCAGTTGCTCGGGTTCTATATTTGGGACAGACCCGGTTTCTCCATTGTACCTTGCGTACATCGCGCATGTACAAAAGCAAGCTTTCTGTCCTTCTTTGACGCTTGAGACGAGCTTTGCATTCTTAACCACGACCTGCTTATTCTACTACGAAACCATACACCAAGGAGAAAGCAGCATCATGGATACCATCAAGAAGGCTCTCAACCTCGGCCAGAGCAACGATGCCCCGCCAAGGCCACCGTCGTCCGAGGAGGTGGCAGCTCTGAAGGAGAAGTACACAAAGGCTGGCCAGGGCCACGTCTTCACATTCTACGATTCCCTCAGCTCGACCGAGCAGGCCACTCTATTCGGGCAACTGTCCGGCTTCGATCCCGTGCGAATCAACGAGCTGGCCGAGAAGGCCCTCCATCCCCCACCACAAGACGAAAAGGCCGCCGCCCTCGAGCCCCTCCCCGAGTCCGCCTCAGCTAGCATCCTCGACTCCGACCCGGCCGACATCCAGAAATGGTACGAGTCCGGCCTCGACCTGATCGGGCAGAACAAGGTGGCCGTCGTGCTGATGGCAGGCGGCCAGGGCACGAGGCTCGGTAGCTCTGCACCAAAGGGCTGCTATGACATCGGCCTACCCTCGAGGAAATCCTTGTTCCAGCTGCAGGCGGAACGGATCTTCAAGCTACAGGAGCTTGCACACAAGAGGGCTGGACTGTCTGCAGACACAAAGGTTGCCGTGCCCTGGTATGTCATGACCAGCGGGCCAACCCGTGGCCCTACGGAGGCATACTTCGCCGAGCACAAATACTTTGGTCTAGACCCAGCGAATGTCATAATTTTCGAGCAAGGTGTCTTGCCTTGCATCTCCAACGAGGGAAAGATCCTACTCGAGAGCAAGGGCAAGGTTGCCGTGGCCCCAGACGGAAACGGAGGTATCTACCAGGCCATCGTCACATCTCCCGTCTTCGAGGACATGAGGAAACGGGGCATCCAGCACATCCACGCCTACTGCGTCGACAACTGCCTCGTGAAGGTGGCAGACCCCGTCTTCACGGGCTTCGCCGCCTCCAAGGACGTCGACATCGCGACCAAGGTCGTGCGCAAGCGCAGCGCCACCGAGTCCGTGGGGCTGATCCTGCTCAAGAACGGGCGGCCCGACGTGGTCGAGTACAGCGAGATCGACAAGGCGACGGCCGAGGCGCAGGACCCCAAGCAGCCGGGCGTGCTCAAGTTCCGCGCCGCCAACATCGTCAACCACTACTACAGCTTCCGCTTCCTCGAGAGCATCCCCGTCTGGGCGCACCAGCTGCCGCACCACGTCGCCCGCAAGAAGATCCCGTACGCCGACCTCGAGAGCGGCGAGACGGTCAAGCCCGAGAAGCCCAACGGCATCAAGCTGGAGCAGTTCGTGTTTGACGTCTTCCCCATGCTGGAGCTCAGCAAGTTTGCGTGCATGGAGGTCCGCCGCGAGGACGAGTTCTCGCCGCTGAAGAACGCCCCAGGTACCGGCGAGGATGACCCGGACACGAGCAAGAGCGACATCATGACCCAGGGCAAGAGGTGGCTGCAGGCTGCCGGTGCCGTTGTGACGAGTGAAAACCCGAAGTCCGGCGTGGAGATCTCACCACTTGTCAGTTATGTACGTATCTCTCTATCGAACGGTATTACTTGTGACTGAGCTAACGATCGTATTCAGGGCGGCGAAGGTCTTGAGAAACTGAGCGGCAAGGAGATTGTAGCACCAGCTGTCATCGGCGAGGCTGTCGAGGACAAGGCTTAGGGGCCTGAAGTTCCCACAGGCTACGTCCGCGCATCGGATCTTCACCCACCTAGAGCGCGTGGTCGTGTTGGCGGCTTCTGGTTTCTCAAGTAGATATGTTTGGGTCTCAAAAGATTGGCTTACAGGGCGTCAGGTTCTGTTGTTCAATGGCCGAAAGGTCTTCCTGGGATACAATGTTTTACGGATGGGTCATGAGAACTAGCGTAATCAAAGGCGAAAAAGCAGTGCATTCTCGGTCACATGCTGGGCAGTAGAGAATTCTCGAACACCCTGCTGTTGATCAAGTTTGTCATTTTGTGTGTGTGTGTGTGTGAATATCAAATTCCGAATGCAAGTCTATGAAAGATCTCGAATGTGCCAAGTACGATGGTGAAGAGGTTCCCCAAACGCCGCCTCACATACTTCTCGCCGACTCTATAAGGCACTTCCCCCGGGAAATGCGATGTATCAACATCCTAATGGCCTCATACATACAGAAAGGAACAGTTCCTAACACCTCGCTGAACAGGTTCCAGCCAGTCAGGCTACTGCTACTTGGAGCTGTTGAGATAGCTCAAATAGCAGTTCCAGCCGATGCTGACGACGTTGACGACGAGGACGCGATGGTGCAGCGGGACGAACTTGAAGTTGATCATCTGCACGAACGGCCAGATCAGGTAGTTGGTCGTCAGGGCGGACTTGTAGTTCTTCTCGAGCTTCTCCCGCGGCGAGGTGCCCTCCAAGACGGCCATGCTGCCGAGGAAGATGCCGATGAAGGTCGGGGCGAACAGACCCTGGTCGCAGGCCACGCGCGCCAGGATCGTGCCGTTGGGCGAGCGCAGGTTCACGTTGCGCTGCAGGAAACCGAACCAGGTCGTCGCGGCCGGGCCGAACACCGCTATCGGTGGAGGTTAGCATCGTAAGGGAGCGTTGAAGCGGGCGGTGTGAGGACGGGGGCGACGGAGGTCTGAGTTCACTCACTTCCACCGTAGAGGGCCATGCGGGCCGTCCGTGCCAGCTCATGCTTCTCGATGCCCTTCTTCTCAACCAGCTGCTGAGCGGTGATGTCGCCGGTAGCAAAGAGAACAGCCGTGGTCACGGCCTGCGTGAGCAACGGCCGCTTGAGCAGCTTGGCCTGGTACCTGATGGGCTCGCATGTCAGCAATGTTCTTGGAACTTCACGAAGGTGGTAAGCTGCGTGAGACGCGGGCTGAGCTCACCATCTCAACATCTTGTCTCGGAAGCCGCCGTATCGCGGTGAGAACGCTGCAGGCTATGGATGTCAATTGGCGGGCCGTCGCAAAGCTGAAGGATGATGATTGAGGCTCTTTTGAATCCTGGAGGCTGAGCGAGGCGTATCCTTCAATGCAGCTGGCTCAGTTCAGCTGATAGCTTTGGTTGTATGGGGTTTGCCTTTGGTTGACTTGAGTCCGGGGACAAGCTGATGTGGTGGAGCAGAGGGGTGATCGACCAGGGATGATGTCAATTGGCGATTGCAAGCTACCCAGAGCTCCCTGATAAGGCAGTGAAGCTCGGAGTGGTGCGCTGCTGTATCAAGGCAAATGCACAATGTTCCTTATTTCTAGTCACACAAGAGAACCAAACTCTGGTATGTTTTCAGTAGATAAATCCAATATCTCGACAGCCTTCAGCTCAACGGACGAGGTGGACTGTCGACCTGGCTGGCGGTGATTTGGATCAGCCTCCCCGTTTGCGCTGCACAGGGCCCGTGCAGTGGGGTTGGAGAGCTCGATTCCTAATACGGAAATCCCGCCAGGCGCCGCCCAGGGACCTGAATCACACGCGTGTTCAGCGTAGCGGTGAGGCTTCCGAGGGTCCAAACCTTGAGCTCTCGCAATTGGCAAAGACTCCCTTTAGCACAACCTCATGTCGTCGTTCTATGAGTGACATCAGCCTTGTGTAAAAATACGCCTAAGCATAATGTGTCATCTGAACAGCCTTTCTGCTTATAGTATAGTCGAAATGAATATAGAATGTATTGTTTTTCTACTATTTTCTTATACCAGTTTATTTTCTACATCAGAAGATAGGTGTTGATGTAGGTATGTGGTGTCTTTTCGAGAAGGTATGCTATTGAGGCGATCTAACAGGGTCTGTCTCGGAATTCCATACTTCTCAGCCACTTTTCGTACAGATAGGCTCTTATTTATCACATCTAGATAAGTATTTTCCATGTCGTTTTCTGTCCAAGACCGGTTTTGGGGTAGCATCTTGATAGCTGGCTAGTACGACTGCTGTGAAACGTGATGGGTTGAAGTTTGCATTTCGGTAAGGCATATATCTTGGGAGTAAGTCTTGGCATATGAAGCAGCCCCTCACATTAAACTAAATTACATTTAACTAATATCACAATAATCCTTATCTAAAAAGCTATCTAATCGAGCAAACAGGATGTGAAGAGCTTCAATATTGGTTGAGAAACGTATGAGCGTAGAAATGCGGGGTTTGTGGCTGGCGAAGGGGTACAGGATGTTATGCAAGTAGGTTTCATTGGCAATTGTTCGAACTATTGCCACGCCAAATGATGACCTTGTCAGACGCACGAGAACGGTGCCCAGACAAACCTGAGGCTTCCTTTCATTCTCGGTGGAAGTCTAAATGGGACAGCACCTCGACCTTTCATAGAAACTCATGCAAAGCAATCAACTGACGAGACAACTCATTTCAAATGGAAGGCACCCGGCCAGGACTTCGGGCCCGCTTCCGAGACTGGCGACATAGAAGAAGCCCAAGTCCAAGTCCAAACTATGATGTACTTAGGGACAACGGCACAGATGAGTTAAGCACATTGACCACAACAACTCAACTGCATAGCTCTCCTGGGGTAGAAAGCAGTAATGAACGCGGTATCGAAAGAGAGTCGGATAATCCCAACGCTGCAGCATCGAATATCCAGTTATCCACTGTCGCACCAGAATTTACGTCACCGGGAACTGAGCGACTGATGCTATGGCAAGAAGCATACGACAAATTACGCAAAGAGCACCCGGATCTGATCGAACACTACGAGGCGGCGGTAAAAGACGACGCCGGCCTTCCGCAGAATATCGACCTGCAGGAGCAAATGGGTAAAGTTGTCAAGGCTCAAAGGGCCAAGACTTCCAACAAACAATGGAGATTCCAGTGGTTCGGTCAGCAACAGAGCGTTCGGGATACAGTCGAGGGCATCCTCAATCTAACAGACAGGTCTGCCAGCCTCATCTCGATTGGGATGGCGTATTCGCCGCCCTATATCTCAATACCATGGTCTACTGTTACTGCTCTCATACCCCTTATGATGAACGAGTTTAAGGAGCACAAAGCCTGTATCTCCGGCCTCGAAACGGTTACAAAGTTGACATTCAGCTACCAAATGGCCGAGGGCCGCGTTCTTAGGTTTTCAAGAGACGTAACATCTTTACAAAAGATCGTTGATGGATCTTTACGTAAAGATCTTGGAATACTACGCTCTTTCTCTCGAGTACTTCACCAAGTCGAGTCTGCGGCGACTGGGGAAGAACGTTCTTGGCTCCACAGCATGGGCAGACATGCCAGCCTCCCTCTTATCTTTAGATAACGACACGCGTCGATCACTACAGTTTCTCGGGGAAAAGTTACAGATAGCGAGTCTCCTAAGTATTAGGGAACTCCTGAAGAGACAAGAAGATGACATCAATAATCTTATCCAGAAAGCTGCTGCTGAGCGAGATGAAGTAGCAGAGGTAACCAGCTGGATCACTCCTATACTTGTAGAACGTGATCACCGCGACGTGCGACAGAAACTCGGAGAACGCCATTTCCATTCTGGTAACTGGTATCTTGTTGACCCAATGGTTAGAAGGTGGCGGGACTGGACAGAAGATAACCAATGTCTCTGGCTCAGAGGAGGTGTTGGAACTGGAAAGAGTTCTCTGACCTCGATTCTCATAGACAGCTTGATCCGATCACCGGATGGAAATGTTGCCTTCTTTTATTGCTCCAATAAGGTGGACAAAGGTGGTGGGTACCAAGGCTCATGCTCTGAGAGACTTGGCGGCGAGAATCGTAAGCTGACGATTGACTCCGGCACAGATGAGAAATCAACAACTCGAAATAATTATGAAAATATTCTTCGAAGTCTCTTGGCACAGGCCGCAGTCTCGATCGATGGCAAAATAATCTATCAAGGTGTCAGGAAGCGCTTTAACCGAGACCCTCGGCATGTCCTCGCAGGATTAGGTTTATCCGGCGACGAATGTGTAGAGCTTCTCCAAGACATTTTTGCAGTAGACGCAGCAGTTCATTTTACGATTGTAGTTGATGCTTTAGACGAGTGTTCAGACTACGACTTCCTGCTGCAGCGCCTCCGCAATGCTACAGACTCACAGCCAAACGTAAAGCTGGTTTTCTCGAGCCGTTTCCAAGTCAAGGTCGATGAATACTTCCCCAGTCCATCCATAGTCACAATTGAATCGCAAAATGCAGGTGACATCGAGAGATTCATTGATATCGAAATACCAAAAAGGCGAGTTGGTAGTGGGATGACGGACGATCAAGCTAGTCGATTCAAGAAAGCACTCTTGGATCGAGCAAGTGGAATGTTAGTAGTCTTTTTCTCGGCGTCTTTCGTGGACTGAAGCTCACTTGTGAAATTTTAGGTTCATGTGGGTAAAACTACAAATGAACTTGTTTCTTCACGAAATCAAATCGAAAAGAATCCGTCTCGAGGAAGATATCGAACCGAAGCTTTTAGCTCTAGAAGCTTCTGAGTCGATTGGAGAAGAACTCCTGTACACGGCGTATAACGATGTTTATGACAGTGCCGTGGGTGGCAGCACACAAAATTACCGGAAAGAGATTGTCGCAACTGCCCTGAGATGGGTTCTCTGTGCTTTTCGGACACTCAGCTTGAGAGAGCTTGCCTACGCTACCTCGGTACGACCGGACGGAACCGTTGCAGCTATGATTCAGGAGGGGCTCATTCTCGAGTTCTGCAGCAACCTCCTTGTTGAGGACACAGTGGGCGTCATCAGGTTACCACATCTATCTGTTAGACACTATCTAGAGCAGCGACTTCCCAGCAGAGTCTGCGACGAAAATGCATCGCTCCAAATTCCATTTCCGTCTTTGGACCTGAGCTGCCTGCTGCTTTAACCTGAGCCAAGATTAGGTTTTACGGTTACTTGACTTTGTAGGCATATTCTAGCTTTGAGTTAGGTAACTCATAGCTAGTAACTCTTTTCCCAAAGTAGTCAGGCTCATGACTCCAATATCTTGTGACGATAAGTATGTAAGATGAGCTGCTAAGATGAATATGGAGGCCTTTGACGGGTATATTGTGTACTTGGGGGCTATTATCCTGGTATCGTTGACTTGAGAGAAGCCATGCTTAGGTACTTGTATCTTTTTCCTTCTCTACTATATCCTAACTCCCCTGATAGTGATATATGGTTCTACTATACTCTAGACCGTATCGGAATATTTGTCGTCTAATGAGATATATTTCTTCTACACTCGATTCTAATATACAAATATACTAATACTTAGCTAAGACGTATAGATATCTTTATCTACTCCTATAAGGCTTTGCTTATTTTATTACCCTTTATATACGTATAAAACTCAGAAGTAGCTTTTGAATACTAATAGCTCTAAACGAAACTAGTAAAATTATATTGCCTTCTCTAGTCAATTATGTTAAAATAAGTATTTGCTATTGTTAGTCTTTGATTTAGGCCTATTAAATGGATATAGTATACCAGGATCTTAGATATCTATAAGAAAATAAGAATATAAATTTATTATTAAGGATTTGTATATTATAAGTATCATCTATAAGAACTAGGAAGCTAAATCTAAATTATATATATTAGAGTATTATTAGCCTCTATAATTATATACTAGTACTATACTATATACTATATTACAGCGTTCTAGGTATAGTACTATATATACTATATATCGACATAAAGATAAGCTTATAACATACCAAGATGATAACTATATATTCTATACTAGCAATATTTATAGGCTAAAATATACTACTATATTACAATCTACCAAGACTAAGAATAGAGTTAGCGAAAGTGTCACAGGTTGCAAACCC